TAACATCAATTTATCTGACCTTTTCTGCTTGTCTCAGTTATTGCAAATAAGGGAAACCATGGGACCTATGTTTCATTGGGCTTGGCTTACTTCACTTAATATAATTTTTTCCAAGTTTTTTCATTTACTAACAAATGGGGTGATGTCATTTTTTCTGATGGAAGCATAGAATTCCACTGTGCATACACACACACACACACACACACACACACACACACACACACATTTCTAAGAGTCAACATGACCAATACAAGATAAAACTGCATCTAAGGTATTTTAAATTCCTTCTCTCCTTGTATATTGCTATTCCTCTGTATACTTACTCCCCTTCAAAACTTTTAAATAACACATCATGCTTTTTCTTATGAACTATGTCTTTACAATTTGAACGAAGTACACAATTATGTATTATATTTTTTTATTTTTCATTTTCCTGGCAATGACTCTGATTCAAATGAATGGGAAACCAAACCATCTTGGAATTGCACTCATTATTTCTCTTTTTTATTTGAATGTATGTGATATGTATAAATGTTGAGAAAATCACTTTATCATTTACAGTCATTTGCTAATAATAGTAGTATGCAAAAAACAAAATATAAAATGAAAAGTATTCACATGTACTAATCAGGAAGTGAATAAAATAAAGCTTACTAAAAGCCTCTGAAACTCTCTCTTTTAATTATAGTTTTTATTAGGGAGGTATTACAATTCTATTTATTATTTTCTCTGATTTATATTTTTTGTGTTGTTGAATTTTGGGCCTGTGAATACTATCCCTTAACTTTCTCAATCAAGCTTGGTGATCTACCATTTCACTCACAGCTTTCCTTTTGCTTTTTTCGTGGTAATTGGAGAGATTTTCAGACTTTTCCTGTTCAGGCTGGCTTTGAACCATAGTCTTAAGTTCTCAGTACATGGAATAGCTAGGATTACAGGAATGAACTACTAGTTCTTAACTATTTCTCCCATATTTATAGATAGCATGGTTCAATCTTAGCTTTGTGCCTGGACATCCTTGGCCTACATGTTTTATTTTTTTCAGGAGAATATTGGAAACATTTCATGTAGGATTCTTTGATTGAGTTTGATTTTTACAGTCATGTGAATATAAAGGAAAACACAAAAGGCAACTTGCTTGGTCTTAGTGCCAGGAGGTACTCCTATCATGTTTAAATTCTTAGGACTTTAAGTTACTACTTATATTTCTCCTTGAGCAAATCTGTAGAATATCATAGCAAAAAATGTTTTCCAAAAGAAATTGACCCTCAATTCATTATTTTATTTCACATAATGTGTCCTCAATATAGTATGCAGAAGTGTTCTTGTGTATGTATATGAAAAGAGTGACTGTATTTATTGTGTACAGTCCTTCTGGGTTTGTAGAATGCGTCAGAGCAAGTCTATACCATTACACACTACTATAAAAAATAAATAAAATTGTATTATCACTTATTTTCATTTTCAAATATTTACAACATTTAAATGGAAAAATTATAATGGAGTTATATAATAAAGGCCTACAAACTAGATTGATTTGAGATTAATATTTAGCTTGCTTGGTTATTTTTCTACATTTCACTTTGTGAAATATTCATAATACTTAACATCTACAGAAAACTGGCAAAGGATGTGAAATTAATAAATTATTTTAATATGTCTGTAATTCTCACATATCTAATCA